GTTGTTTGGGATCATAGATAATCCTTGAAGAAAAGGACTGAGGACACTCTGATTGACATAGTGCTAGACCACACTGGAAGCCCTTATATATGAATGTGCAGTGAATGGAATAGAACATAGATCCCCAGGAAAGCAGCTTCAATGCTTTCTGAAATACTACCCCAGATAGCCCTTGTATTACAAACAATGTAAGCTTATCACTTTAATAATAATAAAATGTTCCCTTTCAGAAAAGAAAGATCAAATCTGATTTTTTTTCCCTAACTTCTACCCATATTTGAGTATACGTTGTTAAGTGCTGTCAAGACGATCAGACCCAAAGGGACCCTGTATCGAGTTTCCGAGGACCAGCTGGTGAGCTTGAACCACCTATCTTGCAGTTTCAGTATACAAGGGGAATTTTTAAATTTCATGGAAAATTCCATTATCTTTTCATCCAATTTCTCCATGAACTTTTTGAAGCCCCCTCGTTATTTACCTTAAAATTATTTATACCCATACACACAAATGTAAAAAAGATCAACAAATTGTGCCATTTGCCTAAAATATATTTCATTTTATTCATGTAAACTCCATTTTAAGGTCATATACAATGTAAGGACATTACTAGACAGTAAGATGTGAATTCAAAAAGACCAGTTTTTTTGTTGTTGTTTTAATTTGCATCTGTATTGAAAAATAGGGAAAAGAACAGAAACTTCCATCATGCATTTCACATAATACTTCAGAGAATACATACATTAAAGAATATATAGTTTGTATGGGCATAATTTTTAAAAAATAAGCATTTTTTAATTGTACAGTTGTTTCTTATAAACACATGCTTCTAAAACATAAAACCTAAATTTGAATAAAATATTTAATATGTATTATTTATGTGGCTGCAAAAAGTATAATATGTAAAATTCTAGAAGGAAGATACTATGTTGTTGTTTTAAATCAATGTTAGAAATCTATTAGAAGGGTGTCTACACAGCCACATTTCTTTTGAAGAAAAAGAGTGGTAACTTATTTTTTCTATTTTCAAAATAAACCACCTCCTTTAGTTTCTGGTTTTACATTTATTTATTAAATTAAAACACAATTAGTGAAAGCTATAGAAAACACTGTAATAAAGGCACATTTTATTTCCTTTTTATAAACTATAGTAAGTTTAACTCATTGAATCTTTCCAAAATACTTTTAGATCCTATCATTTTCAGTCTGCCTAATACTCATTCACATGCAAATTTAAATAGCTCTCTATATACTTTGTATATATACTATGTATAAATATTAATGAATTCAACATTGTTACTACTTATAAGGAAACATATACCTACTACTGCATGCTTTAAACATACACCTGTAGAATAATAAATGTTCACATGTAGTTAAGATGATGGGAGCAAACTGAATATATGACAAAGGGATTTATTAATGTTAATGATTTTTAGATTTTATTTGATGTTTAATATTTCATATTATCATTTATCATAAAGTATATTTCCTTCAAAATGTTACATAAAGACATTACTAACCACATATGACAATAATTATGTCATTTGAAACACACAGAAGATATCCATTCCAATGGCATGACATACATATGTTTCTTTTTCAAATACTTTAAATACAAAGTTTTCATATAGTGGGGGAAAACAAATTTATATCATAAGAATATGAACCCCCTCCAAGTAGTTTTGTTTTATGAGATTTTATCCTTGTTATTTTCTGCAGATACTTATAATTCTTAGTTATATATTTATAGTAATACATATTTTACATTAAATGTCCCATATAGCAATGAACTTTCAGCCAATTTTTCTTGACTAATTGCTATTTTGATATGACAATGATTGACAACTGATATAATAATGAGATAAAGGTACATAGGAATTTTAAGTTATAAGTGCAATGCTTTTAGAATCTGGAATTTTAAATAGATTCTAAAATTGAAAAGGACAGATTTAAAGTAACATTATAATTTTTGCTGTTGTTTTTAGCTGTCATCAAACTGGTTACCATAAACGTTGTCCTAAATTTTAAAATAGAAGTGTTTTAAAATATGTGCCAAGAAATCATTTCTACAAGGGAAAACTTCTCTTTCTGAAAACTATACTTTAAAATACCAACATAGTATGTTCATATCATTACAGCAAATGATGTATTTCCCATTTATATAAACCAATATATATTGGTAGTTGTTACCATATGGTACATTAATGTTTCATACTGTATTGAAGCAAACATTCCCAAAGAAACACCTTAGTCAGTTAAATAACTGTATAGAAATCCCTTTGGTCCAAGAAAATAAGTTTGTAACAGAATTAGATGCCAATCTGAATAAATGGGATGTAATTTTGATCCAGAAGAATGTTTAACTACTATGTATGCTATGCCAGAGATTAAAAAAAAAAAACTAGAGAAAGTATTTAAAATTGCATGATACTCATATTTTATTATAATAAAATTTAAGCCCTTTATACTGTTGTAAACATTCTCTATTAACAAATCTATTATTCATTCTAAATTAGGCCCCACTCATTAGTGCACAATTAATTTTTTAGTACATTGATGGCATGCCTATCTGCTGTGAAGATGAAAACTTCTTAGTTTTTTTTCCGAAAAATAGAATTGTTAAAAAAGTAAGAATTTGCTGATAATTGCCAGATAAATGTGTGCATGCATGTATGTGTGTGTGAATGCTGCGCTCTTTGTACTCAGTTTTTATAAATTTAACATTTTTCTCAAAGATTCAGGATTTACTGTGATGAACTCTATTAAGATTTCTTTTCTTGCAAGAAAAACAAATGGCTCTACACGTTGATGATGGTAATGCTGCATTTTTGTATTTCAAGATTATTCAGATATCTAACATGAAGTACAGATGTCAATTGACATTTTCTTTTTTCTCAGGGAATATTACTAACTTTTCAAGTAAATACTTGAATATGCAGATGTCTTCCAAAAATAATAATAATATTACCTACAGGAGACACAGTTAGCTCTACCTGAAAATCTTTAAGTTTTTATTTCATAAAATAACTAATATTTTAAATCCCTGAAAGGTATCTTAAATTTCTATTGTTAAAAATAAATACAAATTCTTTCATTAGAAAGACAATGTGGGTCTTAATTCCTATTCACTAAATCTTTTATTTCTTGTCTTTAGTGAGTCTGTAACCATGAAAATGGGAGTTAGTTTAATTTTAGGAATGCATTTATTGCAGATGACCCTCTTATAATAAGGATTTCACATTAATATTTTACTATTCTATGCTCAGGAATAGAAGGTTGTATTTGGTTCTGTTTTGAAGGGTTGTAGTTATCCCTAATGGTGGGATGATATACTTCCACCAAATAATACAAATATTGATGAACTGTCAGTTAACAGCAATGGTTTAAAAATGTATAAACTGAACTCATTTAGAACATGACTCCTTTTTTAAAAGAATCATTCATTTTTACAGCCAAAGTACATGTAAATCTCTTGAGTTCTCACTTCATAAGCTAAGCTACTACAACACTATAAATTAATAAAAGTGTTATTTTTTATAAGAGTAAAAATTTTTGAAGCATTTTTCGGCCTATTTTTATGTTTCAAAATACACACTTGGACCATTCTGTCAATTAAATGGCAATCTACAGATGGCCACTTACCCTTTTGCTTTATAACAAAACAAATTTGCAATCGTTTTTATGAAAGATTATCCAAAAAGGAGCGTCACTATAAATCAACAATAAAAATTAGACACTCCCCTTCTCCAATCGACAATGTTCATCTTCCAGATTCTTGCACTGACACCTTATGTAGCATTGTATTTTACGCTGAAGCCTTAAATAAAGCTAAAAGGTTTCAGCTGGTAGAGATTCACAGCTAGTATCCACCAAAAACTCCAGTATTCAGCACTCAGGCAACAAAGGATACCAAATAACTCCCAACAGTATAAATACCGGGAAGGCTACCTTGGGCTTTGTTTTGTTATGTAAAATGCATTAAAGTGACTCATCCACTTAAGATTTCCTACTCTTAGACGCTTTAAAGTAGCTTCAAGAACCAAAATAAATGCTTTCCCAGAATGCCTGATAAGCTATTCCGCGCATTTAAAAAAATATGTGTATATTTATATGACTTTGATTCTGTTTCCAGCTCAAGAGAATTATTTTCCATTTCCCTCCATCCGTGTGACTATAGGTATCTTTAAGCCCCATTTCCAAAACAGCAAGTTTTGTTGTGTGCTTTTTTTGTATATATATTTTTTAAGTTAAAAGTTATTTTAGATGTTAAAAATAAAATTGCAGGAGAGTCTGGAAACGTTTAGTCCCTCACTGAAAGAATATTTTATTTATCCTAAGAACAGGAATCGCGCGTTTGCGGGCACCTAGATGTTGGAATGAAGGGAGAGGGGGCTAGAATCCCATGTACCTGCGAGCCTCCTGGGCAGACAGCACGCTGGAACCGTGTGGAGCAAGGCACGCTTCGCATAAGAAAAACTGTCAAGTGCACCTACCAATTTGGGATCTTAACGAGTTTCGACAGTGTAGCAATTAGAAAGCATCCCAGAGTGCAAGTGCGGACAAAGTCCAGGCTACCCCGGCAAGCGTGCAATTAACTATTTGTAAAATGCCCATCCAAATCACAACTTTTTAATGGACTGGACTTGATGAGAACGTGTATCTGACCGGAAACTTTTTCCCCCAGTCCAGCTAAACTCTGAAATCTCAAATTTCATTTCAGAGACGGGCAGAGGCGTAGAGGGTCCTAGCGGACATTTCCCCTGGACGGCCAGCCCCTTCGAGGGGCTGGAGACGCCGGCTCCGTGCGCATTTCGTCTGCAAGCGGCGCGCGCCTCGCGCCGGGCCTCCCAGATTCAAGCCCGCCTCGTCGGCCGCTACCTCCCCACCCCCATGGGCAGAGCCGCCCCTCAACTACAAGAAGGGACCCCCTCCCACCCCGGCCCCAGCTCCCTTGGAACCTCTCGCCCTCGCTTCCCGCCCTCTCCGGCCCGCGGACTTACGTGACGGCCGAAGGAAACGGCTCTTCCGACGAGGGGCAGATCAGCAAAGATTGGAAAAGTGTCAGAGTCAAGGCCAGCAGGCAGCCAGCAGCCATCTTCGCGATCGAAGATCAATTCTCCCTCCCTTCCCAACCCCGGGAAGGAACGGTACTGGAATCGGTGGGAGAAGGAAGGGAAGCACACTGTGCCCCGGCCGCGGACGTCTGGAGGGCTGGCGCGCCCGGGCACAGACTCGTGCGGGGAGCTGCGAGGGGACACCCGGCGCGGGGGCAGGGGCGGCGGCGGCGGCGAACACTCTAGCGCGCGTTGCTTGCTCCGCGCCGCGGCTGCCTCGCCTCCGCCGCCATCAAGGGCGACTTTGGAAACAGACCTCGGCGAGTCCGCCGGCTCTCGGGCGCTCTGGCTCTGGCTCTCTCCCTCTCCGTTCCTCCCTGATTTATTCCCCTGGTTTCCGAGGAGCAGGAGGAGGCGGAGGCAGGGGCGGAGGAGGGGTGACGGCGCTGGGGAGGGAGGGGGTGGATGCAGGAATGGGAGAATGGCAGACAGAGAGACTTGTGGAAGGGAGAGGCTCCGTCTGGTTTCTCCGGGTAAGTCAGAGGGAGGTGGCTGGGGGTGGGCTGCTGGAGGGCTGGGCGTCAGAGCAGTCGGGCGGAGACGGGCCGGGAGCAGCCCTCCATACAAGGCAGAAAGGAACTCCCAAAGTCGGCGTCGGCTTGCTCCCGCCGCTCGCCTTGCAGAAGGAGAGCAGACCCAATCCCGCAGGGCTCTCGGGGGATAGCCAACCGCCCAGCGAGCGTCCAGAGGCTCCAGCCGAGCACTTGGCTAGCGATGCTAGGGGGCTATTTTTGCACATGCAGGCAGCGTTCCCCTAGTCCTTCCAGGCGCAGAATCTACTGCCTGCCTAGGAATCATGTGGAAGAGATTTGACAACAAATGTAGGAGGGGTTTGTATTACATTTTAAAGAACCTCTATTAACTCCCTACCAGGTGGCACTCTATGCCCGGGAGTGCCAAAGGTTAGAGTCTTTGACGTGACTAGATAGCAAGAGTGCCAGCGGCCTCACGCCCAGGTACGATTCACCTGGCAAGGATACAGCTTCGGCCAGGATGAAGATAGACAGGGAATGGCCTGATACTGTGCGGTCTCACTAGTCCAGCCCTTCAGTAGAGCAGAGGGATTAAGGGACTAATTCTCCACGCAGTGAAGAATGTGCTCCGAGAAGTTTACGTTGCCAAAATGTTCCATACGCCCTGTTCAGGCCACTCGGGCTGCCCTGTTTGACAGCGTTACCGCAGGATGTGAATTCACTCTGGATGTGAAGGCATGAGAGGGGTGAGATTTAGGAACAGGTGGTACTCCGAAATGCGCCTGATGTGTGTAAGAAACATAAAGGAAAGGGGAAAGAGCTAGCAATACCGGAGGGGTTTACCTCCACCCCCAAGAAAAGCAGAGGCAGGATACGCTCAGGCCTTCTCTTAGAAAGAGCACTGGGGTCTTAGATTAGCTTTCCTCCGTCCAGCATAGGCCGCCTTCTGAAGGAACTGTTGGGCCAAGGATGAAAAGGTTTCCTTGAACATTTTACATTTTTACACGCCCTTTAGTAGTGAATTGGAGGCCGGACTTTGAAGTATAGAGAACACCATTCCTGTTGAGGAAAAATGACCATCATGTTATCTGTGGAAAATCTGCAATTGTTGAAATGGCTGTAAAATATTTAATTAGCCCTTCTTTATTCCAGGAACCCTGGTGTCCCACTGGCTAGAGCACCTGGCTACTAACTTCAAAGGAGGGTAGTTCTAGCCCACCAGCCACTCTGGAAGAAATATGAGGCAGTGTGCTTCCCTAAAGATTTACAGCTTTAAAAACCCTATGAGGCAGTTCTACTCTATTGCATAGGGTCTCTGTGAGTCTGAATAAACTGGACGTCAGTGAATTTAGTTCTAGGAGAAGTTGGGAAAGGAAAACGGCCCTTATTAATTCGGAATTGATCTTCCAGCTCTCTCAGGCAACCTCCAAAAATAGAGTAGACTGATAAAATAACCAAATTTTAAAAAGAAGTGTTGATTTCATGATTTTTAGCCCAGAGATTTTTCCTTAACTCTTTTTCTATGCTTTTTTTTTTTTTTAATGCCTTGTTTGTTTTGTTTTCATGTTCTCTGCATCTCAATCTAGTTCTTTGTTTCTTTCTTCCTGCTTTGAATGGCCTCACAAAAGGTAGCCCATGGCTACTTACCTTAGTTTGTTTTGTGCTAAGAGCCAAGAGTGGCAGCAGAAGCGACACAAATGAGGGATGAAGTGGTAAGTAATACGATTGGAAGCTAGAGCTAAAGATGAATATTTTAATATTAACTGAAGCTAGCTCTCCACTCCAAAATTAGATAATCAGACAGACAAATTTATCATTTGTTTTCAATTTTAAATGATTTCAAAGCAGAATTTCCTCCTCAGCATGAGGATTAAGAAAAGCAGAACTGGATGCCCATTATAGTCTATGTGATATGTTAGTATCATAATACCTGCACTACATAAAAATATTATAATATATTTTGTCAATTATTTCATTAATGAATCCATACCTCCTATTATGGCACACCATTCCCAATTTTATAGCTTTAGGAATAAACGCTTAAAGAATAAAAGAATGCAATAAAATTCCAGAGAAGGTAAGTCAGCCTTTATTATTAACTGTGTTGGCCTTTGAGCCAAATCTCAATTTCTTGGGATCACTCTGATGAAGCACTGTATTCTCCAATAACTGGAGCTGTTGGAGAAAGATATTACTTCTACAATTCTTACTGAAAAGGTTAGTTCTCAACCGAAAGCCAATATGATAGTTTAGTATTCTGCTGTAAGGTTTGCTATTAACTGTTCTTTATTAATTTAAGCATTTTTAATGAGGATATCTCAAATGGGATTTCTGTTTTTATCTTACGCATGATAAACAGAACAAGGCCATATTTATAATATAGTATTATATTTCTATTGGATAAATCATAGAATTCTATAATGCATTGCTTCACCTCAGTTCTGTTACTTTGGAAAATTCCATACAAATCAGATCCTATCCTATCAATATTAATAAAATTTTGTTAGATCATTAACGTTTGTCATTCTACATCAAACGTTTAAAAATCTTAAGGACTGATGGCAAATATTTTGTGTTATGGGCTGTAGTAAGCAAGAAGTCACAAATTAATGCCTACTGATTATTTAAGATGGCATATATTAATAAGAAAGAAAAGACAAGTGTTGATGAATAAGTTTTTGTACTTAACAAATTATAAAACTAAGTTTAAAGAAGAATTAATCTATGCAAACACTGGAACCAATTTATGGTTCACAATTTTTTGCTAACTCTCAGTGTTTGAGTATTATGGTGTGATGCTGTGGATTAATGTGATGGACTACAAAGTTGGTTTGAACCGCAAGGTCAGCAGTTCAAGCTCACCAGCTGCTCCTTGAAAACCCTATATAGGAGTCACGAAAGAGCTCTGGTAGGAGACCTGGTGTGGCGCTGTGGGTTAATGTGCCAGACGCAAAACCGTTTGAACTGCAAGGTCGGCGGTTCAAGCTCATAAGCTGCACCTTTTAAACCCTATACAAGATCACTATGGGTTGAAATCGACTTGATGGCACTTAACTACAACAAAAAGGAGCTCTGGTAGCGTAGTGGTTACGAATCCGGCTGCAAACCTTAAGGTCAGCAGTTCGAAACTACCAGCTGTTCCATGGGAGAAAGATATGGCTTTCTGCTCCCATAAAGATCTACAGCCTGAGGAACCCTGTACAGCGTTGCTATGAGTCGGAATTGACTCCACATAACCACCACCACCATGGGTCAGAACCAACTTGATGTTACGTAACAACAATTTGTTCGTACACATTTCTTTTTTACTATTTAAAAAAGAACAATTAAAAACCTAACAGCCATGAAATGTTCACTCTGTTTTTGCTTTAATTCATAATATGAATGTTAGTAGTATTGTTATATATCTGGGGTTTATTTCCATGTGTGTTTTTAAAATTAATTTAATTTCTTCAATACTTTGGCTTACATAAGCTAGATAAAGTAACCTATCTGAAATGTACTTAAATTATAAAACTAAGTTTAAAGAAGAATTAATCTATGCAAACACTGGAACCAATTTATGGTTCACAATTTTTTGTGAACCATATCTTAATTTTTAAAACCTATCTTAATTTTTTTAATTTAAAAAAAATTTTTTTTATTTAAAAAAATTTTAAAAACCTATCTTAATTTTTCTACTCTTTTTTACTCACATGAATAGACATATACAGACACTTGAAAGCAAAATGTTTCTTCCTGACCAAAAAAAATTTTAAAACCAACAGGCAATTGCTTTCTAGATGTTTTTGAGTATCTTAAGAAAATGAAGCTAATATCCTTAATAATGGGTCTTATTTACTTACTCCTATATAAGCCATTTGAACTGCAAGGTCAATGGTTCAAGCTCACCAGCTGCTCTTTGGAAACCCTGTACAGGGTCACTATGTGTCACAATCACCTCAACAGCACTTAACAACAAGGAGCAGCTCGTGGGTTTGAACTGCCAGCCTTGCAGTTATCAGTCCAGTGTTTATCATACAGAATCGACTCATCCGTCAGCACTTAACATCAACAACATCTACAAGTACAAGACTGCTAGGTTGTGAATTCAAACCCACCAGCTGCTCCTGGAAACCCTGTACAGAGTCACTATGAGTGGGGATCAACTCAACAGAACTTAACGACAAGTTCTAAATTTCCTAGGGAGATCCTTTTTCACTCTACAAATAGAACTTACATAGTTTTTTAAATTGTAAGCTAAAACAGAAAAGTAAATTAAATATACATATTTGGACCTACATAGACAAAGGGAAGAGTCTTGGTGTGGCACTGTTGAATAAACACTGGACTGCTAACCACAGGGTCTGTGTTCCAAACCCACCAATTTGTCCTTGAAAAACCAATTGGGTTGCTAATGAGTTGGAATCCATTCAATGGCACTTAACAACAATCTATTAAAAGGATATCAGTAAAAGCATCACAAATAGAATTGTTAGGTTTTTTTCCTATACGGTAATAAGTATGTTGTTGCTAAGTGCTGTCAAGTTGGTTCCAACT